TTGTAGAATTAAGTTGTGGGCAAGAGTTAGTGTGTTCTAATGTGGAGGGGTGGTTTTGTGGCTGTTTTTTCCTTTTTACATCAGAATTGTTGTTTTCTTGGTTTGATAACCATGTGTACAACAGATATTCTGTTGTGGTGAAGGAGTCAGTACAGTTTCACACAGAAACCACTGAAGGTGTTTATGTTCTGTTTCAGCCAGGGCTGCTGCATAAGTTAGTATTCTGTATGTGGAAAAACAATGCCATGTCTTAGGCAAGAATATTTATAAGGCTGAGAATAATAGAATCATTTAGGTTGGAAGATCCTTAAGATGTCATGGTTTAACATTGCAATGATGTTCTCCCCTTGCCCCTTGCTCCAGCTTGGACTTACTCACAGATCACAGGATTGTACCTGCTTGGAGTGGAGCTTTATCTCTGAGCCAGTCTCCTCAGAGATACATATACCTGCTGTGGGAGAGACTTATGCACAGCCACAGTGGCTTTGAAATGCACCATAATCCCTTCAGAGGCATGCTAGCTGTGGCACAGTCATAACTACAGCCACAGATGCTTTGAGATGCACCTGCTCCCACATGGATTCATCTGCAGGTCACAGTCCCTTCAGCTCGAGTTCCCACAGGAGTTCCAGGCTGTCCAGCACAACAGCAAAGGAACAGCAGTGATGCCTTGGTCACCTGCCAGCCCAGGGGCATCACTGTGGCTGCTATCAAAGTGTTCCCAGGCACAGCAGGAAGTTGATAAGAATAATGTTCATCATGTCTGGTTTTTGTCAAACAATAACTGGCAAACTGAGTCATGGCTGGGCTTCGCAAACGAAGATTTGGGAAAGGTCTCTACCCACATTTGTCACAAGCGCACTGGTGGCTAAAAAGGCCAATACAACTGCATTTGTAGAAGATGTCGCTACAGGGCTTTGCAAAAGTGGGTAGGGCCTTCAAGCCTGCGCAATGGATTTTTTAGGTGAGACACAGCATGCGCTGAACTGAGCCCACCCTTTAATCCTAAGGTTCATCTGCCAGGGCCGAGCAAGCTTGGACGGTGGCAGCGAGGTCCTCAGGACGTAGGTTTAATTAGAGTGACCTTCTCTTAGATGGGTACGGCCAAGGGCAAACTGAGTGCTATACCAACTAACTGCAGTAATTCTGGAATGTACAGAAATGGGTGGCATGCGGCCCTGGGCAGAGAGAGCAAGTTGTTTCTGGAGGTTCTCTGCTGTTAGTATTTCCTCACACTTGATCTGGGAATATACAAGTCTACATTCAGCCTGTAACTGTGCTATATTTTGTGTTTTGAAAAGTTGTGGGTTTTTTTTAACAACTCCTATGAAGCTCTGGTTTGTGTTTTATATAGGCACTCTGTTTTCTGGCATTCACAGAGGTAAGACTGAGAGTGCTTCTTAAATCAAAAAATGTGCTCAGAGCAAACCTTGAAAAAATGTTGATTTCCTTTGGCCACAACAGCTGTGCACTCAATATTACTGTAGCAAAAGCAGAAAAGTGGAGCTATTATTTTCCCTGTGGTGTCTGGCTGCACAGCAGAGCTTTTGTATCATGTGTGGTCTGTGGTACAGGTATTGTGAACTGTTCTGTCTTTTATAAAAGATAGGTCTTCTATACACGGGAGTATACTAGATTGTTGGTATTTGCTTGCAACAACTGTACTTTCAAAGCTACGATTAAAAAAAGGGGACAATATTTTTCCTGCAAATGACATTAAAAAAAAATCCCTGCTTCTTTAAATTCAATTTGGTTCTGGAGTTGGCTCATGGTGCATATAATGTACTAAGCAGGAGACATGCTGTTCTTCAAAGGAATTTACACAAATTAAGCTAATCCCCTACCCTAGGGAAATACCTTCAAAATCTTCATCTCCTCGGGCTAGACAGCAGAGGGCCTGAAAAGGGAACTCTGGTGAATGTGTTGCAGTATCCAGTGGCATCTTCATAAAAACTCTGTTACTCTGAGGATTTGAGTGGTAGGAGACCCTCCAGTGTGGCTTCTTTCACATTCACTATAACAAGAACTGCAGCAATTTAAGCACTCAAAGCTGAGTGGTTTTTTGCCTCTCTGAAAGACAGGCTTAATAAAAGAGACCAATTTGCAAAACGCAGTGCTTGGAGCCTTGGTCTAGCTGCTTGTGTGTTTTCATGTGCTCCATTCAAAGCTTCTTAAAACCAAGTCACTTATATTTCACATATATCTATCAAGATGGGATTTTAGGAACCAAAGTCTGTATATCCAGTGATCTCTCTCTTGGTTTGATCCTTTTTGCTTTCATTCCAAACTTCCTTAGAGTTGTGATGCAGGGTTTAAACTGAGCCTGCAGCTGAAGCCTGAGGGTATTTAGCAGTTAAAATAGTACTAGAATGTCAGTTTGAAAAACAAGGTTAAACAACAGCAGTGTTGGGCTGGCACAAGTCTTGTAGGATTGATACATTTATTCACTGTCTTGTTTTGTTTTTTGTAGTGATTTTGTTTTGGTTTGGTTTGGTTTTGGTTTTGTTTTCTTTTGATTGTTTATTTTGTTTTTTAAAGTTATTATTTGGGCAGATAAGTTCTCCTGAGGTTTTTAAGGTCACCAGTCAGCAAAAAAAAAAAAATTAAATTATTGTCCTTCATTGTATTTGGATCGCTTCTGATTTCCTTGTTTTCCCTTCTCTCTTAGAATTTCTTTTACAGCCAGTGCCCTTTTGTGTGATATCAGGATAGATTTTACTGGTTTAGAATACAGGAAGGAATGTAGGCCATAAATAGATGGCATATATTCTTCTAACAGCAGGAATACTGAAATAGCTCATCTCAAAAGACAGGGAACACCTCACCCATTGTCCAGATGCCAGGAGGTTACAGGATTGACAATTAGGTGGCAGGCCTGAAAGGCAGATTAATGGTAGGCTGTGCTCTAAAAAAGAGCATGTTGAGCCCCAGGAGAAATTTCCGCAGCAGCAAATTCAGGAAGAATTCAGCCATGTGCTGATGGCTTAAGGCAGTTTTGCCTTTCTCTTGACTCCTCTATCTCCACAAGGCTCTGGCATTCCCATGTGGTGTGTTGGTCCCCGTGATTCTCATGGAATGGGCTTGCTGCATTCTCTGCCTTTAACCAAATGTATTCAGGAGGGGCTCGTCTGTACAAGTCTATTTGAAGGAAATCCTTCTTATACAGTCAGCCTTTTCTGAACAGCCAGGTAACTGCAAGGGCCCTTATAATTTTTGCAGAAGATAGTCTTTAGCTGGGTGACTTTGACTTGATGCTGAATAGGCTGGCATTCATAAGACTGAGCTATCCAGACCCTCCTGTGGGTTTTTTTTGTTTGGTGGGCTTTTTCCCACCATTAGTAGTTCTGTGTTTTTCCTTTTGCAAAGCAGGATCGCCCATACCTGCCATTCTGGAGTGCTCAGAGCCATAAGTTACAGCTGTTCTTTGGTAAGGTGACATGGATGCCACCGCCTATCCAAAGACACTTATTTAAATAATAGCTTGGTGTTTGTACATGGGACTTCTAACATTGCTCATGGAGTTTTCCAGGCTTTTGTATGGACAGCCTGTGCAGCTGTGGTTATCCTCAAGCTGACAGAGCAGAATGGGATCAGAGTTCTGCCTCTCTAATGTCTGCAATGCTGTGGCAGTATAGAGCAGATGAGTGGTTTTCAAAAGCCCTGCTCTGCTAGAGTGCTGTCCACCACAAAAACTGTGAAATACAGTTGAGTTTCATATAAAGAGTTTTTTATTACCTAAAATATTTTTACAATTGTGATGTGAAACAGGTTAAAGCAGAAAACAACTATGGGTCAGAATTCAGGCAATCCTGCAAGAAATCATCCTTTCCCCAAAGGGAGAACAAACAGAATATAAGAAGCATTCCTGGTTCAGAGAAGTGGCAGAGTGAGTGACAGACACCTGAGGTGGTACCTCTGACCTCTCTTTGTCTTGCTCACACAGGAGATGGGGAAGGGGGTGTGGAGGGCAGCTCCACCTGGCAATGTCACGTGCCCTCTGCTAGTGCAGCACCTTAGCTGACTGTCTACCTAAGCCTCAGGCATTGAGTTACTGGTCTAATTCACTCACCCTCAGTCTGGTGAATCTGTCCTGGCAGTCAGGTGTCTCCTGTGTTCATCAGTCGGATGTGCTGCAGGCTGAGAGCAGGGGAGGTGAGCTCTGCACTCTTAAGAGCTTTCATGCCCAGCTCATCACCCTCAGGCTGCATGATTAGCAGTTGCTGATCAACTCCTGTTTTCCAAGGTTAAAGAAGAAAGGTAAAGAAGAAAATAGTGGTGTGCTGCTTTAAAGGTAAGTGATGCTTGTGTATTTAGAGTAAGGACTTCCACGTCTGTGCTGCCAGAGTTAAACTGGTGAAATGGTATGCAGGAGGCTGTCATTTAGTGAAGCATGTGGCTGTTATGTAAAGGTTTTAATTACTTTCTTCATCTGTCTGCTTAGGAACACGAGATGTCTGGCAAAATTTTGAGAAGGCTCAAGGCGTTAAAGAAAGCTCATCTAAATAAAGGAGAGTTAACGTGACATTGCAGTTACTTAATCCTTCATTGTCCTGCCATGTGACTGCAGGGATACTAAGGCGCAGCATTGCTTTTGCCTTTCCTGTCATCTTCTAGAATTAGGTGCTTCATTAAACCCACCATGGGAAGGAAACAGAGGGGCAAAGAACTTTCTACAGCAAGGCTTCAACACACAGTGACATTTCCAAGGCACAGTGACAAGCTCACAGCTGAAGAATGAATCAAAGGCAAACCCTACAGCCAGCTCTTGGACTGGTACCAGAATCAAGTAGAACTGCGCTCTTAAGGTCAGCTATTCAAAATTAAATGGAGGTATCTGAATTTATTAGGAGCAGTTAATCAGCTTTCTGTTTGACCTTTATCTATCAAGTTGTTTTTCAAAGCATCAAGCTAAAGCCTGAATATTTGTGTCAAATATTTTCCGTGTGTCAAATGTACTGTGTAGACACTGAGCACCTTGCCGCTTTCTTGCACAAATTTTGCAGTTTTATTTGCAAAGCCTCTTTCACCTTGTAGCTGAAGATCCCGACGTACTCACTCTGTGAGTGAGAAATTGATGTATACGGCTTCCAGTTTATCTCTGATTTTGAACAGGACATGCAATATGCAGATTGGGCAGATAATTTTCAAACTAATCCTTGGACTTTCCATAAACAGCTTTTTTTTTGCTACATTTGTCACAGTTTCTATTATGTGCAGGATTGCATATTCATTCAGAATTACTTCATTTAAGCTTGCTATTGCGACATCTGGTTAATGGGGAAGTGATTACCCTGTAGACTATGACAACAGGATATGTGAATGAAGGAGGTCATGGAAAACACCGCTGTTCCAGGTGGAATCATGAGGATAGCGGAGAAGATGATGGGCACCCGGAGTTCTATGGAGGAGATGAAGAGAACAGGCAGCACAGGCTGACCCCATTTGAGAAACTAATGCAGGATATGTCTCACAATGAAAAAGTGGTGAAAGAATTAACCCTGGGAAAGAGAATTGCCTTCTATCGAGTCAGAGGAGAAATAGGAAGTGGGAATTTCTCACAAGTGAAGCTTGGAATTCATTCCCTAACTAAAGGTAGGCACCACTGCACGTTGAGTGCCCTTACAAACGGCCTTCTATGGTAAGAAAGGTGTTGCCTGAACCTTAAATACATATATAGTTTGTATGTGTCTTTTTAATGTTGCTAAGTGAATCTGTGGGCAGTGTCACAGAAAAATGATCAAGGTTGGAAAATTTTTCTCTAGATAGCAACCATTACAAGAAAAGTTCATCACTGCACTCCATGGTGTTAACATATCTCATCCTATGGTTCGAACACTCCACACTTTAAAGCGTGTGTTGTGCCTCCCCTCCTACAACGTGTCCTGCCAATCTGTCCTCTTCCCTGCCCCAGCTCATGGGCTGCAGGGCTACAGGTGGTGAATGCCCACGGCAGTGTGGCTGGGCATGCTCCTGCCTGCAGCCAGACGTAGCAAGGCTTCCTCTGTTTCATCACAAATAGTACTACTATGGACCAAGATTTTATTTGGTCACAGTAATTTTGGTGACAACTGTTATGCCTGCTTTACAGACTCATTTGCAGACAGCTGGAATAGGGCTATAGGTGTGGGCTGAGCAGGTGCAAGGAAACAAGCTCTGGAAGGAGAGTCAGATTGAGAAAAATGCCACAGTAGTAAGTGTACAAAGATGCAGAGAAAACAAGTCACCCTGACAGAAAACAAGAACAATTTCTATCATGGTCAGACAGAGGCAGAAGAAGAAATAGGACAGTTGATGACAAGTTCTTAGCTATACCTGTGACTGAAATGTCCACTGCAGTAACCTAACCCTTCTAGTCCTTCATAGAAGATAGGGTGCTTTTCTGTATTTAAGCCGAGAAAAATACTTGACAATTCAACACAAACACCACTTTGGCAATACCAGAGCTTGCTTTTTCAATCTGATTGACTGTCCTTCCTTCCATCCTCTTGTAGGTGAGACAACAAGATATGCCCCGAAACCTGTATTATCTCCCATTATTTTCTCTGACTGCCTCTTTCAGCCCAGACTTCAGAGGGTGAGAACTTGTGTGCAAGAGTTGTTGCACTGGGAATCTAAGTGGGGAACTGATGGTTAATTTTTCACTTTTAAACCTGCCTCTGACCAAGGGTCGCTTTAACTGGGTGTGGAGTTTTTGATTTTGCTTGTTTAAGAAAGGCAACTCAGTTCTGCTTGGCCCATGGCAAGTTGTTTCCTCTTCTGTGATTTTTTTTTTTCTTCCAGAGGTAACTGTCTTGTACTTACTGCTGGAAGAAATTCTGCTCCTGTATCTGGAGCAGCAGGAATGCTAATGAAAGGCAGTTAGAAATTTGATCTGGATGAACCCTTTACTTGCTGAACTTACTTAATAACAGGTTGCTTTAGCATTTGAATAGAATTGATTGAAAAAATTTGAACTTGGTGAATACAGTAAGCTTGGGCAAACTAAATACCAAAAGCAAACCTCTTCCTTTTTCTTGAAAAGTTTCTTTTTCATCAGAAATCTCTCCAATTATTATTTTTTTTTGCTTGTTTGTAGCTTTTTTTGGTTAAAATGTTCACTGGGCAAAGAGTTGATTTCTTGATGCTAAATTTGCAACTGTCATGAGGAAGGAAGAATAAAAGATAAGTATTTTCTGACTCGTCTCTGCCTGTGAGCTTATCTGTGCTCATAAAATACAGTACACAGACAGAAGAACAGGGACGTGCACACAGGCATGCACCCATACCCACTCCCCACCCCCACAAAGAGGATTCTGTTTTTTGCAGTAGATGCACATCGTTGTATTGGTGATGATGTTCCTGCACAATGTTAATGAGTACTAGTCTTTTTTTTGCTGATTATATAAATACAAAGGCTTCGTTATTAATGCTGTTTGGATCTCTGTGGTAGGGGGTGGTATATGTGTTCAGCTCCTCAGTTGCTACCATAGTGTTAAGTATGGTCTCTCTCCTTACATGTCACCCTAAAGCAGAGAAACAGTTTTGGCTCTTACTACCATGAACCTTTGTAACAATTACACTGTGTGTGCTCTTCTATTGTCCTTGTGGTCTGTCACAGCAGGACACATGATTTCGAGAGAGAGAGAGAGGAAAAAACTTCAGGATCTTACTGGATGACATACCTTGTTTCTCTCATAAGGGCTGTCTTGGCTGTTTAGAGAATACAGAAAAATCTTTGGTGCTGTGATGTGGCTTGGACAGGTGTGCTCCTCACTGGGTAAAAAACTGGCTGGATGGCTGGGCCCAGAGAGTGGTGGTGAATGGAGTTACATCCAGCTGAGGCCATCACTAGTGGAGTTCCCCAGGGCTCAGTGTTGGGACCAGCCCTGATTAACATCATAATCAGTGATCTGGACAAGGGGATTGAGGGCACCCTCAATCAGTTTGTAGATGACAGCACATTGGCTGGGAGTGTTGATCTGCTGGAGGGCAGGAAGGCTTTGCTGAGGTATCTGGACAGGCTGGATCGATGGGTTGAGGCCAATGGTATGAGGATCAACAAGGCCAAGTATCAGGTCCTGCGCTTGGGTCACAACAACCTAAGGCAGCTCTAGAGGCTGGGGGAAGAGTGTCTGGAAGGTGGTTCAGTGGAAAATGATCTGGGAGTGCTGATTGACACTGGCTGAGCATGAGCCAGCAGTGTGTCCAGATGGCCAAGAAGACCAAAGGCATCCTGGCTTGGATTGGCAGTAGTGTGGCCAGCAGGACCAGGGCAGTGACTGTCCCCCTGTACTGGGCACTGGTGAGGCCACACCACAAATCCTGTGTCCAGTTCTGGGCCCCTCACTGCAAGAAGGACACTGAGGGACTGGAGTGAGTCCAGAGAAGGGCAACAGAGCTGGTCTGGAGCACAAGTCTCATGAGGAGCGGCTGAGGGAGCTGGGGGTGCTTAGTATGGAGAAAAGGAGGCTCAGGGGAGACCTTGTTCTCTACAAATACCTGAAAGGAGATTGTAGCCAAGTGAGGGTCATTCTCTTCTCCCAGGTAATAAGCAATAAGACAAGAGGAAATGGCCTCAAGTTGTGCCAGGAAAGGTTTAGATTGGACATTAGGAAAAATTTCCTCACTGAAAGGGTGGTCAAGCACTGGGACATGCTCCCCAGTGAAGTGGGGAGTCACCATCCCTGGAGATATTTAAAAGACATGTAGTTGTGGCACCTGGGGACATGGTTTAGTGGTGAATTTGGCAGTGCTGAGTTAACAGTTGGATGTGATGATTTTAGAGGTACTTTCTGATTTTATGATTCTATGTGTATTGTGGTATTCAGGAGCATTATCCACTATATTAACCTGAATTTTGGCAGAGATTTTTTCCAGAAACCTGTGAAACTTCTGCTAAGGACCATTACATTCCTAAGCTCTGTGTAACCTTTATTTTACATGCTTTCCAACTGACAAAAGTAGTGTGAGAGCACACCTGAATAGATGCAATTAAGAGCATCCAAAATGTACAGCTAATAAAAAGTCAGTGTAATGTGAAACATGAATTGCAAAAGCACAGATTTCCAGGCACCTAGTTTTCCTTTTTTTTTTTTTTTTTTTTTAAGCAATTTTAACCTGGTTTTGTTTGTATTTTGTTTCTTTTTTTGCCATCACAGCAAATACCACTTCCTCCTGAAATTATTTCTCAACCTTTTCCTAATTTCTCTTAGATTTCAGCTAGCACTTTTCAAACCTCAGCATACACTGTGTATAGTCAATCAAACATCTTTCAACTCAGTCTTTTGGTAAATAAGCTGCCTGCTAAAAATGCCCTTCTGTTTAGCACTGCTGCCAAGCAAGGGTAATAGAGGATTTGCAACAAATAATTTTTTGGAAGCAGAGAGGACTAGTTTACAAAAGAAAAGGAAGGTGTCAGGTTTCTTACCCTCTGGGTGGGCTGGGTTTCTTCGAATGTCATGCATTTGCAACTGCAATTTTGTAGACTTAAAGGAGAGCTTGGTCCTGATTTATGGTGGTGTTTGAACAGGATCAGGCCTTCAGTTTGTAAACACTCTTCTTTTTCCCCCTGTTTCTTTTTAAAACGTTGCAGGAAAACTGACAATGAGGAACAGTAGTTTCCAGCAAAAGGAAAGGGGAGAAGATTTCTTTTTTAAAGCCCAAATGACCCCAACTTTTATAAATCAAGATGTAATGATGAAATTGAGTGGTTAAGATTGTGAGAATTGTTCTGCCTGTATTATCTAACCATTTAGCTGAGTAGCCTACTGCAAACTGATGCTCATTCCTTGTGGTTTAAGAGATCAGTATGCTAGGAACATGACAAGGATTTTAGTCTGTCGCTGCTAGATCAGCAGTCAGAGCACTGCCAGGATGAGTGTCAGTAGCTGCATTTCTTCCCAACTCACCACACAGGAGCAGGTACCTACCTACCCAAGGAGCTCCTTAGAAAGCATGAAACAGGTCAGAGAGAAGCAGCATGGGGAAACCGCCCTGTACTTAGCACAGACTCCTGAAAACAGGTACATCAAGGGTAATTCAGTACCTTCCACAAGAATCATATTTGCTTCAAGTACTTGCTGCACTTCAGTAGAGAAATAACTGATGCATGTATGGTACTAAAAAATGTAAATGTACCAAACATGGTGTTTCCTTGATCTGTAAGATATATGCATAAGTATCCTTAACACTTCCTTTAGATATGTTGAAATACTAAACTTGAGTTAAAAACTTTATGTCATTAAGTAAAAACATCTTGAGTACTTTTATACCAGAACACATGTACAAATATAATACCCCTCTCACTCTTCTCTTACAGTAAAAAGTGAACAATACCCTTTTTTTTTTTTTCTAATTTACTCCCATGTGCCAGAAAGCAGGGTGAAGTTTTTTTCTGAAAGATTGGTTAAAAGTGATTCATTGTTAAGAAGCCTGTGATTGGTTGACTAAGATATTTATTTCCAGGAATAAATAGTTGTTTTTATTGCTGTGATCCAGTTTAATTTCGCTGTCCTGACAAATTATACAAAGCCACTGTAAACCTGTTTTAACCAGACTAATCCTTCAAATACCAGCTGTATTCAGAACAGCAAAGACAAAGGCCATAACCTACAAACTAATACAGAAGCATAAGGGCAATTGTGATTGACCTCTTCATTCTGCTCTGAGCTACCCTGATGATGTGATGCAGCTGCAGATGTATATCTGTGTTTTGTGGCTCTTGCCTTCACTGTAGATATGCTACAGAAAACATCTAGGACTTAACAGCAGCTTTGCATTACCAGAACAGCATATGTCAGCTAGGTTTGCTGTCTTACAGGATCCCTGCAGCGTACTCTGCTTCACTGTTTTCTCCCTTCCTCAGAATAAAATCTTGTGTATGATGTGGATTCATGGCCCACTGTGGCATACAGACATAAAAATGTACTTTTCCTGTATTCTGAACAGTACCAAGAACTATTAATACATGAACACATTGGAGAAACTGGTACAGCTATCCTGACAAAGACAAACCTCAACAACACTGATTTTGCTGAGAATTTGGAGGAGGATGAGAGAAGTAGTTAGGGAAGAGTTCTGTAAGTTGCATCTACTTCGAAATCTCTCCATTATAAACCTTCAGGGTTATAGCCAGGGCCTCTAAATTCCCCCCAAGTTTGTCTGTCTGGTGTGAAACAACCAAGCATTGTTGTAAAAAGCATCACCATTTGTACCTATTGCACTAATAGGTATAATTATGGTATAATGGAAAAATATCTTCCTTTTCAGAGAAAGTTGCAATTAAGATTTTAGACAAGACAAAGCTAGACCGGAAGACTCAGCGTTTGCTGTCTCATGAGATATCCAGCATGGAGAAGCTGCACCACCCAAATATCATCAGGCTGTATGAAGTGGTGGAGACACTCTCAAAACTGCACCTGGTGATGGAGTATGCAGCAGGTGGGGAGCTCTTCACTAAAATCAGTACAGAAGGAAAGCTGCTAGAAACGGAGTGTAAAATAATCTTCTCCCAGATTGTGTCTGCTGTGAAGCACATGGTAAGTTGCTCTTACGCAGGCATGTTGCCCCTCACTAGTCTTAGCAGATTTTGTGGGTGTATCTTTTGGTTTTCAACTAGTAGATTTACTGTTACCCAAGTTTCAGGCCCACATTTCTGAAAAGCAAAACAGCTGGAGAAGAGAATACCAGAGAGCTTGCACATCTACCTCGAGTTACTGCCTCTCTGTTAATAGCTTTTGGGAGGAGACTGAAGTGGGAACACCTGGTGGGTGTTCAAATCATCCCTTTTGCAAGTGTTCTGTCTGCTTTAAGGTGCCTGGGCACCAGTGAACAAAGCTTCATTTTTTCCCTCCACTTATTTCAAAACATGGGATTAGTCACTCTTCTGCTAGAACAAAGTGTTCCAGAGAGGCTTGTTAGGTTTGCAAACATCCAACTTGCTTATTAATGAACATAGGAGTCTGTCACGTAAAGACAGGCCATTCCTGGTCCTCACTTTAGCGTGAAGTTAACACCCAGCAAGTCCCTTCCCCTTTGCCTGGTCTTCAGTACCTGTACCTGGGATGATGCCATTTGTGTAGAGCCCAAAGCACCTTGTAAAGGCAGAAAGGAGCAATTAACTACTTCAATACCATGTCCTCTGAACCTTGCATAGTAACTACAGGTACTTCAAACAACAGCATGAAAACACGGAGGACTGTTCTACAACTTTGACAAGTAAAAGTAGAATTCGTTAAAGTTGGCTGAGAGTGCCCTCCGGCGGCTCATGTTTTCTTGCCACATAATAGCCTCTGGTGAGGTCAGAAGCAAGGGTGTTCCCAGGTCACTCACTCACTGCTCCTCTCTTACAGAAACAGTATGCATTTTTTATATGTTTTGACAAAATGATTGTATGTCCTGTAAGTGATGGATTAGCTCCAACACTTTTTCCACAGGACAGATACCCTGCAGCTACAGGAACTTAATTTACATTTCAAAATTACATCACACCTATTTCTTAGAATTAAACCCAGATTACTGAGCTGGCCAACCTCTTCACTTGTACACACAGACTTCTGCATAACATTTTATTTTTGTTAAGACATCAAATCCAGACTGTATAAATCCCATCTGACTGCTGCCAGTCCAAAACAAGAACAGAGGATCCCTGCCTGTTACTGACGTCAGTTGAAATAGGATGTCAAATGGTTTCCTTATTGCCTCCAGATACTGCACCTTGTTACTCCAGAGGGTAGGGCAGAGTGTGCTCAAACACATCCATTCCTTCTTGTTAGTTCAAAAATGACGCTAAACCCTTACCTAATCAAAATGGGTATGTTGTGACTAAAGCAGAACAAATTCAGTTTGAGTCCTTAGCTACTACTACCATTTCCAAGGGAAAAAAGTAGAAGTAACAGTGAATGTATTTATTTTAGCTTTTTAAAACTAGAAGACACCACTAAACTTGGTATCCTGCAACATGAAATACCATGAAGCCCAAGTCTGTGGTCCTTTTCTCCTGCCACCACCAGTTTCTCATAGGACATTAGATCACACAACACAATTGTAGTAACTTTCTTACTCTATCTGTGATTATGTTCACTCAGTGAACTAAATAAGCACTTATTTCCACAAGCTGTTACATGTAGTAACTGCAAAACCAAGTGTCGTGAACCCTGAAAAAATACTGATTTTGCACATGAAGATATCTATCTAGTCTTGTAGGATTAGCCATTCTGCCCTTGCAAATTTGCTTCACAAAAATACTTAGTATAGTTTGGGACTGCTGTTCTTAAAAAAATCCCAGCATCCTTCTTTTCCCCCTACTCAATTGGTTTTGTATCATTAGAGAATTAGGTTATATTTGTTTAATACTTTTTCAATTTTGTTGCAATACTAGTTTCTGACTTTGCCCAAGATAACTCCCCTTCTCCTGTGGGGTAACTAATCAATTAGGGGTAGCCATTGAGAACTTTCCAGTGAACAAACCAATACCAACTTCTCCTCTTGTCCTACAGCATGACAATAATATAATTCACCGGGACCTGAAAGCAGAAAACGTCTTCTACGCCAGTAACACCTGTGTTAAGGTGGGAGACTTTGGATTCAGCACAATAAGTAAAAGAGATGAAACTTTAAAAACCTTCTGTGGCTCTCCTCCTTATGCTGCTCCTGAACTCTTCCGAGATGAAAACTATATAGGCATCTATGTGGACATCTGGGCACTAGGAATCCTACTATACTTCATGATGACGGGTAGCATGCCATTTCGGGCAGATACTGTAGGCAAACTGAAGAAGTGCATTCTTGAAGGGACATACACTTTGCCTCCCTGCCTCTCAGAAAATTGCCAGAAACTGATAAAAGGAGTCCTTCAGCCCATACCAACCAAGCGATACTCCGTCAAACTGATTATGAACAGCGAATGGATGCAAGGCATACAGTTTCCCAAACCTTTACAGACATTTAAACTGGATCCTAAGTATTTATCAGACATCAGTACACTCAAAGAAGAAGAAATTGAAGTGAAAAATATTCTGGAAGATCTGGGAATCACAGAGCAGCACATTCAAAATAACCGGGGAAGAGATGCACGCAGCTCAATAACAGGGGTCTACAGGATTGTGCTGCACAGAGTACAGAAGAAAAGGGCACTTGAATCTGTTCCTATCATGTCCCACCCAGATCCCACAGAACAAGACCTGAGGAAAGCAATCCATTCTTACAGTGGGATTAAGCACACATCCAAGCTGTGTTCTATTTTATAAATTTGCACTGCAGACTTTATACTCAGCACATTTGACAGAGGGGATTATTCACTTTTCAAAGGGGATTATTGATTTTTCCTAAATTCTGGTGTTACATTTTTTTATTTGTAATTTGAATAAACCAAAAATGCCTCCTTCTTTGCATTTCTCAAGTCACAAGTGAAGCACTCAAACACCGAGCTCTCGTGCATTTGTTTGATCCTTGCTCCAGAGACATGGTATAGCCAGTGCAAGAACCCCAGTAATTGAAAGGATCATGAGTGGAGGTGATTGTTTAGTATAGATCATACTAGATCATACCACTGCATTTAACCCACTTGGAGATTCCTGGTACAGGCATGTAACAGCTAACTTCTGAAAAGCTGTATGTCAGCTTGACACAACTTTACCACTGCAAACCAGGACAGTTTTTGCACAGAACTAAATTTAAGCAGAGACCAGACCATAATCTAAACAATTGCAAATTCTTCTTTTGAACTTCCTCATCAAGATAGTTTTAAAAAAGCATTTTCTTTTAAGTAACAGCAATGCTGCTGTTGACCGCAGTTCTGTTTGTCATGATTCTGAAAGACAAATTAAGATTCAGTGCATATGTGGTTGCAATTCCTAATGCCTGACTGGTTGGACTACTATCAGCTAACCTTCTGACCCCTTCCACTACTTGCATGATTCTGTCAGTTGGGAACTGCTTCGACTCATTGCACTTCAATAAAGAAAGATTTAAGTGTACTCCAAAATTCATGTAGTTTTAAATTCTTGCTGTAGCACTTGTTACCAGTAGCTGAAGGCAACCAGCAGCAAAATCCACTTGTATCTGCTGAGCATTACAGGCTCACTCCTGCCACGCTGCTTTGGCAACCAAAGCTGGAACAAAGATGATTTTGACACTTGGCCACTGCAAGTTAAAGTTGGATAGGCTGACACCAACAGTTGTTCTGAGCATCACCAAGATGTAGATGCTCGAATTTTCAGCTTTAATTGCTGATTTTATACTTTCACCTTCAACAGCATCAGCTCCAATGCAATCCCTGAACAGGGACAGCTGACCTGCTTAAGCTAAGACATAGAGCCTGTATGATTTCAGTTAAGGTAAGATACCTGACAGAAGGTTTACATAGGTAGAGCTGGTGCTTTCAAATGTTAAGGGCAGGATGCCTTACCTATTATGAGTGCTGATGGGACGATTAGTTGATTTTGGAAGGACTAATTAATTTAAATGAGCAACAGAATGAGTCTGAAAAGCCACTCCTGGGAAACTGGACTCAGTGAGGCTCAGGTATGTACAAAGCAAGAACCAAGCCCCCTTTGCAGATTTTCTGAGGGGGATAAAACAATACCATCTTCTGTAAGACAGTAATAAAGATTAATTCCATTTCATGAGGTGGGGATTAATTCCTCTGCTATAAACAGTTTCCATATGAAGCATTTTAAGTTATCTTGAGACATAGCCCTGATGGAGTGGTTTTACACCAGCCTAAGTAACCCCTTTGTTTTGTTGGGAATGACACAAAGAAGAGAGATCCAGAATATCCACACAGCCTGTGAACCCACAACTTCAGGTTTTTACAGAGCCAGTTTCCTCTTTCTTTCCTGTTGAAAATAAAGTGTCCTGAAAACCCAACAAGTCAGCACTACTCCAACAGGTTTCAAATATCTCAAACTTTATTTTAATAAAGGATCAGCCTCACAGACCTGGGAGGTCTCTGCTAGTAGCTCACTTCTTGGTTCGTCCACTGCCAGCAATGGACTTTGTTCCATGACAGTTTGTTTTCCTGGTGCCAAGATAAGTTTCATGAGGGCAATCTAAACCAAAATACTTGCAAACACTATCATCATGCATCATTGCTCCATCATTTTTAGCAGAACAAACAGATTAGTATTCATCAATTTATATTAAACAACTATTTTATCAAGGCTTGACCGCACAAATACAGCAAGTTATCAAGTCCTAGTGAGTGACAGGTAATACAAACACTTCATTACACACACAAAAAAATTGTGATTAACAGAGAAATAATTTTTTGCTACTTTATATTAGATAATGTGGCTTTGTAGAATTAGCAAAGAAATAAACTCAACAAAACTTAATCTGTACATTAGCTCAATTTAAATATATATATCTATATATATAGATATAGATAGATAGATATATATATTACAGGCTTAAAAGGCTCATGTCGTAGTTCGTTTCCAATCTGGGCTTTAAAAATCTACCAGAATGGGCTCCCCATTACCACTGTAAATCTACCACTGGCAAAACGGATAGCTTGTTGAAAAAAAAACCAAACTAAAACAAAAGAAATAAAAGATGCTAGTCTACAGTATTAACAGTAGTGAGAAGGACTTCAAGGTACAAAGCCAAATTCAAAGTTAGAAATAGTCTTTTGGAAATGTATTATATAAAGACTAGTGAGAGGCCAGAGTTCTGGACAAACTGATGAAGATGACTCTCTTCCTTTGTTTGCCAATTACAACAGCTCCATAATGTCTAGAAGTTTTTTTTGAAAATTCTGCTGCCTTGGATACTTCTACTTAACAATCCAGAAAGGTGCCAAATCAATGATCCCATTTCTTTAGAAGAAAAAATTTACTACCTCCCTTCTTTGTCCTCTTTCCTCCCAGGCTGCTGTGACTTGCAATGCAGGTATAAAACACATAATATGGATGCTAGGAGAAATTACATAGTAACTAACCCAATGGATAACAGAGTTTCTTCCAAGAAAACCACTTGTCAACCTAGCTGTTCTTGATCCGGTAATTTTGAAGGGAAGAGAGATTCCATTCCAACAATGGATGTTACTTGGTTCTATACCTTTCCCAAAGCGATGGGGTGATGGGAGGCAGACTGGGAGAAGAAAGGGAAGGTGATAAAGTGAAAGAGAATTGCAGTATTCAGAAGACTGACTGCTTATTGTCAAGGCACTGAGAACCCTAACATTAAAAGCATGGACTAGTTTGCACACACTTGAGTACTAGTAGAAGTTAACAGTGTAGGTTTCAAGTCATTTTACATGGAAATAGCAGGCAGAAGATTCCTTTTTTTTTTTTTTCTATGTACAAAGACCTTGTAATAGACTACAGCTACTTCTCAGCAATTAAAAAAATTCAGACACCTTAAGGAATCCACAGAGGACCTAGCAAGTCCCTCTATCTCCAATATACTCCTGATTTTAGTGTTCTGAAAATACTTTAAAATCAGTACACCGTATTATGATGATTTTTTTCAAGGAGCTTAAACAGGTTTTTCATGCTCCAATGAAGTACTAGTGTACACTGAAACTTCAGCATTACTGCAATCCTTTTTCTCTCTCTCTCACTCTACCCTCACACCTTGTTTCTTTCCCCACCTCACAGAGGTATCTTAATGCTCCCCATTGGAAAGGGCAACAGTAACGCCTTCAGTTTCTGTTGTTGCAGGGATTCTTGGCACTTTCTTAGCAGGGCTTGGGATGTGCTAAGAAGAAGGGAAAAAAAACATTAAATACAGATTTCCAGTTCACATACATTCATACTTCATGGCTAGTCCAACTCTCAAACAACATTCATGCTACACTGGACGGCTTGGCCTTAAGTCAGTCAAATCGGTCATGCTTCATGCAAACAGATTGTGTGAGAGGAGCCAGTTTTGTTCTTGTTTCGTTCTTGTGCAGTTTCATTCTCTTTATGATGAAATGTACTTTCTTAAAATCCCATGTTCAACTCTTTACTTCTGGCTTGTATGTTAGGCACGTTAACAAAGTATTTAATATAACTCGTTAAACCACTTCCTCTTAACATACATGCACATGCTAAGACAGACATGTAAATGGTTCCACCATTTACATCAAACTTTGAAAGAGTGCCGAGTGTTCACCTCATGAACAATGCCTGGGTGCACAACTCCAACTCTTGCCTCCAGAGGTCCATCACTCAGGAGTGGGCGCCGGGCATAGGTTCTCCTGTGCTTTTCATCCACGCGCACGAGGTACCAGGTTCCTTCAAAGAGATCCTCTACTGAGCACTGTGGAATATAGTTGGCTGTAAAAAAGGGAATAACAGACTGTTAGTTGTTTCCTGGTGAGAGTTTTACTCAACACAGGCCTTTGCAGTTTGAATGCACTAAGACAGAAAAAAAACAATTCTGGATTTTAGTTCAGCCACATAGGGCCAGTGAAGACAAACTACTCAGAAGCAGAAAGGGTTGGACATTTCCTTCGTTCTACACTCTGATAATTTAAAGTCAGCTGAAATAACTGATGAGCATTTTGCTGTAGGACTAGGAATGATTTATATTTATGAAGTTGTTACCCAAATGGTGTGTTTCCTGTCTGATCTTCATGTTTTCAGCAAAGACATCAGGTGCAATACACTTTCTTGAGTCAAGTCTTGCTTTGAGATCAGAAAGGCTGGCAGTTATTCTGTCCAGTGCAGAACCTGCAATACAGAACCATCGTGTAAGTCAGAACCAGTGCTGAGAACTGCACAGCAGGACATTAACATTTAAAATCCATTTGAAGTGCTTTGCATTACAGAATCTCAACTGTTAGTCATTTAAAAGTATTCCCAATTACCCAATCAAAACATTAACGGAGTTTGAAGAATATTATTTGTTCAAGGAGACACAAACATTCCCTGGAGCTAGAACACCCTCAGTTTGGCAATGATGTCTTTAGGCATTGCTCTGCAGGTTTTATGATGCTGGTGGGTTGTGTAATAGTGCACTGAGCTGTGCAAGGGAGGTGGTTAACACCTCCTCACGTCACTCACCAGGAGTGGCATCCTGTGTGACCCTGATGGAATACAGGGTAGCAGCAAAACCAGAGCCATAGGAGAACACACTGATTCTCTGTCCTGCCAGCTGCTCTGGGGAGTACCTGCAAATCAAACAACAGCTTTTTAAAGTGAGAATTAAGCCCAGGTGTCACTTTGAAATAACTAGAAACTGCAGCTAGCTTAGGAAAAGCAGCCAGCAAATCATATTGTCTACAATACACATTTACCTATGTGCATAAATGCTGACTTTTAAAAACACAAATTCAGATACTGTTATGTGATGAGTTCCAAAGCTGCCTAAGCAACACAGAGCTGAGAAATGCACAGAAGTATGACCATCTAGAAGGCAGCCAGTTTTCATTCTTAAGCGACCTAAAGCCTAAAATGAACAAACACATCTTGGAAGGTAATGTCAGAATAAAGAAAAAGCGATCCAGGAAGAGTGGTTTAATTTAAACTTAACATGATTTTGTAAAAGGCTGTCATTGCAAAAAAATAATTAAAAAAATGTTAAATGCTAATTTAATTTGGTTTTGGTCATAGTGAGACAAAGAAGACATTCTGATTCTCTTTTCCACTGCAGGCATTTTTCTAGGGGGAGGGAAAGGGGAAAGGTTGGGGCTGAGAAGAGACATCGCCTCACAAGTAAGATCCTACTTTGGAAGGCACTAAGCAGCTTCTGACACATTTTCAGTCTGCTTGTCACTTGAACTCAATGTGTGTGCAGAATAGTTTTTTAACTTTAGTCTTTCTGCTCAAGGGAATCTCGTAGGAAAAGGTTTGCTAGACAATGGTTTTACAGAAGTCTTTCTAAAGCAAAAACCTTTTATGTCCTTATTCATAAACAGCTATGACTTTTTTCCAAATTTTATGCTTACTGGGCTAGAAGAGAGGCAAGGCAACCATAGACTGAAGGGGTATACATATTTCCATTCTGATTGGACACGAGTAATGAAGCTTTGGTTTTCTGATTGAAGAGCTCTGCACTAGCTTTCATGAAAGCTTTTTCCACATCTCTGTCAAAATATGTATCTTCAAGTTTTATATCCCTATTAAAAACAAAACAAAAAAAGAAGTTCAGAAACAGTTACTAAAATAGCAAAAAGTAAAAACACACCTTGGATGTGTAACAGAGTAAGATTATGTGAATAAAGGAATACAGCAGCCATTCTCACCTGAAAGCTTCCAGACCACTGAAAACACCATTCGCTGTTTCTGGGTTCTGGTCACTGAGAAAGTCATTCAACAAGAGTCTAGCCACGGATTTCTGTACCAGTTTACAGTATGGAGAATGAAAGATCATGAATCCAAAGTCATTCAAGGTGAAACGTCTGTCTGTCCCCTCTGGAAGTAGCAGAAGTGTTGTGTTACAACCTATGTTTAGTACTCCCTTCAACTATGAAAATAAAGCAGGGAGGGAGCTGGCAGGATACCAGTCATCGTAACATGTCAGCATACAAGAGACACTGAGTAACACCAAATACTGCTGTCAGGTGCATTTAAAACACTGACAGTGCTTCTACTTAAAAATAAATTCCTTACTATCTTTTGCACCAGCTAACAATGTTTGCTCTTATTCTAGAATAAAGAGATATAAGCTTAGCAGAATCTCTACTCAGCATTCCGACATAATAATCTGTCATTTAACTCTCTTCACGCCTATGCCACTTGGGTGAAGCAATTACTAAACATATTGGATTAAAAAAAAAAGAGTATTGTTACACAACATTTAAATATTAATCTAAATTTCTTATAAGCCTGGGTGGAGGTGGGTAATAGCATGCTTTTGAACAAGATAGTATACCTTACACCAACACATGCCTGTAATTACAGACTGTCAGGAACTTAACCATGTGAGAACAGAAGTAAGCAATTTCTTACAAGAGAGAGCAAATATTTCAATCACATCAGAACGCACAAACATGAAGAGACCCATAGAATAGTCTTTAGATCAGAATCTAAAACTTGAAAATACATTGTCTGTGTAGTTACACATTCCAGCACTTGCCAGATACTGCAGTACCAGCAGGAGAGGCTACGTACCCTTCTGCCACTGGGCATGGATTTTGTTGCGATAGACAGTATAGCAGCGATCCAAAGCACTGAGGTAGCACTGTATAGAGAGTTTGCCATCCACCACAGGATATTCAGAGAGCATATCTGGTTTGTAGAAGTCATAGGCATGCTGCATGTGGGTTCCACGCAACCCTGGTGGGCAGAAATTGACAAAAGTTGAAAACTGCCTTACTCAGCTGCTCCCAGTCAACTGGAACACAGCACACGTACGGAAACAAGCAGTTCTGGCCCCCCATCAAGCAGGTTTTCATAGCACCCTTAGGCAAGGTTTCACACAGTTCTCTTGCTTGTTAAGTACAGTAGGACTGAGCATGACAAACGAGCAACAAAAGACAGTCATCATACTGTCCTGGAAGCAGAATGTTGTGTTATTTCAGCTCTAGTCCACTCTGCCAATTTTACTGGAGAATTCCCAAGGAAATAAACAGATAGAACCATCTCTAGTTGTTTCCTGCTTCATCCTATAACAGGACTTGGCTGAGTTAGCCCAGAGCAGGAGGAGACACAGAAGAATTTCTAACATTAGTGGGAGTTAATCCACCACTCCAGCGAGGCAAAAAACAGGGAAACAGGCTTCAGAACAAATCTGCCTGAACAGTGTGTGTCCTCCCACAGCACTAACCTCTCTCAAAGATCAAGGGTGCATTTGGACCAACCAGCATGGCAACAGCACCAGCCCCACCAGTCGGCCTGGCATTCCCAGAGGCATAGACAGCGATGTCTCCAGCCACCACGAGGGCATAGCGTCCTGAGAAAAACACACAGGAAAAACCGTGAGAAGCAGCCAAGCGTCTGGCATGTCTTAACATCCATCAGCAACTTTTAGACTTTGGTTATTGAGGAGATGACACCAAGATTAAAGGGATCTTCAATCCTGACTTTTTCCCCCAAGTTTTTATTTTCTGGTAATTGCCAAAATTTACATGAGAACAGCAATTCGTAGCTATGTCATTGTTCTTCTAGTGGCAAATGCCCACAGCATTTAAGAAAAAGACCAGAATAGAAAAAGTTTACCCTCTGGGTTTCATATGGTTAGACATGAACGCTGTCACTGTAAGGCAGACTGATGTAAGGATGATGTAACTTTTCAAGAAATGACCATGAACTTACCATCCCAAGAACTGGACTCAATCCAATTAATAGCATTAAAAAGAGCAGCAGTGCCTCCATAGCATGCATTGGTGGTGTCGATTCCTTCTACATCTGTGTTACCAGATTCTTCAAACAGCTGCATCAGGACGGTCTTCACAGATTTTGATTTATCAATTATGGTCTCCGTTCCAACTTCTAATCTCCCAATACAATCATAGGAAAGGTTGTTCCTCTCCATGAGCTTCTGGACCACAGTCAAGCAGAGAGAGTTGATATCCTCCCGGTCGGAGCAGAACCCCATCCTGGCCTGGCCTAGACCAATGGTATACTTCCCAGCATCCACACCATCGTACTTCTCCAGCTCTGTCTGGTCAACATACTGAGAGGGAAAATATATTTCCAGTGCCACAATTCCCACATCTTTGGGCCAACAGGATTCAGCATTCACTGGAAGAGACCCAGGCATCGTGGTAGATCTTTAAGAAAAAAAAAAAAGAAAACCACAAAACCAGGTGATTTATTCACATTCATTTTGAGGGAACTACTTTCAGTTTCTGTAGTTTTATGTAAAAAGTTATACTTCATGTATTCTGCAAGGTCATTTGCAAAAGGCATGCCTTTGCCTCTGGTGAAACTTTGATCAGAGCATTCAGTAAACATCATTAGGAGTTTTGTAACGTTTTTTATTAAGTACTTTCAAGTGAAAATATAAATTTCAGCCCCAAAGATGAAGAGACGTAGGTTAAGCCTAAATTATCTTCCTAAGGCAAAACACACACTTAGTAAGTGTTAAGTGTTTGAGAAATTAATGCTCATTATTTTACTTCTGCTTATATGCAAAGTCTCGATTTTGCGCATAACAACCAAGCCAGAGACACTGACATTTTTTTTTAATGTTGCTAGTCAAGAACTTAAATTGAAAACTTATCCTTACCAGAAAATCACTACCTTTAAACAGACCAGGGCTTTTCAAAATTGTTTTTAGTTTTAAGCAAAGTGACACAGGTCACTGTGTTTTGTTTATACTTGCAACAAAGCTGAATTGTTTCAGAGTGGGGTTTTTTTGTTTTATGTTTGGGGTATCTTTCGGCAGGAGGTAGGGGAGGTGTTTTGTATAGTCCTTGGGGTTTTCCTGTTTGTTTTCTTCAAACATACTCTAGTGTTTCAGCATTCCGGAACACTGGAACTCCCAACACCGAGCCTGGAGGAATATTTCACAGGCTAAGACGAGATGAACACACAGTGTTCTCCCTGAGACACCGAGTAGTTTCCTTGTTTTAATCCCATGACTTTCCCGTCACCACACCCGAGGACATATTACACTCCAGGACATACTACACTCTATTCCTTCAGCCCCACCTCTATTACACAGAGGCACCATCCTCCTGTGCCTTGCCTTCCATCCTTAACGGAGCCCTTGTCCCTTCCCTGCCGAGCTCCAGGCACCGCTGCACTGACTTACCCGGCTTCTTCCATAAAACCACGATGAGCTGTATAAAGGAATAAAGAACGCCCCTAAAGCAAATATTGCTTTAAGCAAAACCACCAATTTCGTCTCGTTTGTGCCCGCTACTGCCGCCCTCGCCGCCTCAAGGTTATCCATACCCCAGCCGAGAGCCCGCCGGGAGCCCCAGGAATGGGCCCGGAGGGGTCACACCGCGTCCCTCCCGCAGCGTGTTCCCGGCACAGCGCGGGGCCCGGGCGCATTCCCGCCTTCTTTCCCTGCTCTCCGCTCCCACCGCCGCTGCCGGCCCTTACACGGGGCGGAATCCCATGGTCGGCTCCCAGCGCCCCGATCCCGGCGGAATGCGCGTGCGGGCCGCGGGAGGCGCGCGTGCGCCGGGAATGGCCACGCCCTCCCGCCTCAGGGGTGAGGGGACGGCCGAGAAGTGCCGAGATAGTGCGGTTGGCTTCACCACCTTGCGTGAGGCGAAAACCACCCCCGACAATAAGTAAATAATAATAAAAAAAATCACCAACACCCAAAATTCCAGTTTGGGGAAGTTTCCTGCGGTTTTGTTTTGGTTTTTCTTTTGGACAATCCATGGCCACACCCTACCCCTCGCTACTATTTGCATGGTGGAGCGGTGCCATATCCTGCTTTAAATTATCCTGACTGCAAAAAATCCCCAAAACCCAACCCCTCCCCAGACATTATTCCTGCCTCCAGGAAGAGCTGTTGGGCAGGATTATGGATTTGTTGTCGCACAGCAGCAGGTTGATGCTGTTGGAAGTGGAGCAGCTGATTTGCTAAAGCCACAGCCAGGGGAGGGAGCAGCGTGGTGGTCCCCAGGGCCCGCAGGAGCTGCGGGGCAAGGTCACATCCCCTCTCATGCAGAGAGAGGTAATGTCACATCCCCTCCCAGCAGCACCATGAGCCAGGTACACACATGGCCAGGGGTCACGGAGCAGCACTGGGGTATGAAACTTGGCTCTGTTTTACCTCAAATCTGCACAGCCACTGTTGGGGAGGAGGATGCTGCTTTTCGGCTCCCATATGAATGCAGACACACCACCCACAGTGAGATCCCAAGATAACTGCTGGGAAAAGGGCTCTGGAGTTCAGCTCTTTCTGGCACAAAATACCTCATTATCTTTCCAAAGGATTTTTTCCAAAAGGAAATACCAGCTGCTGCCAGCTCAGCAGTGTCTGGCTGCCACCTTGAGGGTGAGCCCAGACCAGAGCTCACTCCTGCTCCAAGAGCCAGAAAGTTGAAAGTTGGAGGCTGCAGAGAATCTCAGAGGGTTCATTTTATTTAAGAAGTATACAAAAATAATTGAATGGTTTGGATTGGAAAGGACCTTGGAGACCATTTAGTTCCAACCCCCTGGGGCCAAGGGCAGGGATGCCTTTCATCAGACCAGGTTGCTCAATGTCCCATTCAGCCTGGTCCTGAACACTTCTAGGGATGAGGCATCCACAGCTTCTCTGGGCAACCTCTTCCAGTTCCTCACCACAAAGAATTTCTTCCTAATATCCAATCTAAACCTACTCTCTTTCAGCTGGAAAACATTCCCCCTAGTCCTGTCACTACATGCCCGTCCAAAAAGTTCCTCTCCCCCCCTTTTTTTTTTTTTAAGTAAGCTCCCTTTAAGTACTGAAAGGCTGCAGCAAGGTCTCCCCAGAGCCCAAGAGGAATTCTACTGTTGAGAGAGCTAAGGAAAAACAGTGTGCTTTGTACTTGCTCCTTACAGAGCTCTGAGATCCAAAACTGGCATTTAACTGGCTGCAGTTCTCTTACCAGAAAACTTTGTGCAGAAGACAACTAGAGAGAGGGTCTTTCTATCACATTCCCATGGCTCACCAAATACTAAGCTCCCCAGATACTCCTAACAGGGCAGCAGTCTGGGCTACTGGGCTGTATTGCAGTGAGAAGCACTGCTTTATGAGCGTGCTCTGATCACTGAAGGAAATGGGACGTATGGCATCTTACATCAGTTACTCATTACAGAAAAAAAAAATGTGTTTACTTGGTTTAAAACAAGCAGCCTTTTGTCCTCCTGGTCAAATAGCAAACAACATCCCATCATTCAGTTTTTACTGAAAACTAAAACTCTTTCAGAAGTATGATTTCTTTTAAAAGACCAACAACCCCAAATGCTTTGATATAAATCAGAAACCTGCTTTGTTTTGTGTCACCTTAGGATTTCATTGGGAATGAACAAAAAGCATAAGACAAGCCATTGCTTTCCGCTGGCGTTACCAGAACATGTTCTCCCACAACAATTGGTGGCATTCATTGTCTTTCTTAAGAATTTGAGCATATTATGTCAATAATTTGACTCTTTTAATTCCTGCCTAAATTTTTAATTTCAACAGAACATTCTACTCAAAGTTCGAAAACAAGCCCCGGCCTTCTTTGCTTCAAGTGCTGCCTTTGGCTCTGGAGAACCGGTGGGAGGGACCGTGCTGGTGGCAGCCCCGGGTTGTGACATCACTGCCTTGTCCCCGCACGGCTCCTGCCACCAGATGCCGCTCCTCCGCCCAGACCGCGGTGACATTCCCGCGGGACGCTCAGCTCCGGGCACCCCCGTGGGATGCTCGCCTACCTGTGGGCGCCGGGAAACGGATGAACCGCGCAGAGCCCCACACCACAGGGCCAGACCCTCGGACCGAGCCGTGCTGTCCCGCCCGCGGGGTTGGCGGCACATCCGACACCGGGGCTGCGTCAGCAACACGGGCGGGCGCCGGGATGCCCACATCCCTGCGGCAAACGCCATTGGGAAGGAGGGCGGCGGCATCCCTGGGAGCAGCTCCAGGCTGCCTCTACCCGAAGGGCGGCGGCGAAGGCAGGGGGACGCTCTCGCCCCGCCTTTCCCGGTCTGGGAGGGCGACTCTGTCGCGACACTGAGAGGCGATGGAGGGACACACCGAGGGCTTCTCGGTGGCCCCGAGGCGGGGGCAGAGCCCAGCATCATCCACCCACCGCAGCTTACCCAGCTAGGGGCTTCCCCCGTGGGCAGCGGCCGGGATGCCTGTCTCGGGATGCGGCTCCTTCGGGAGAGGCCTGGTTGCCCGTGCTGGGGGCGCCGCACGCCACCCCAGGGGCTCTGATACTCCCAGATGCTCCAGACAGCGCCTGGCGCGGGGTTCCGGCTGGCACCGACGTTAGGACACCATGACACGCCTTTTTGGGGTATTTTTTGTTGGTTTGGCTTTTTCTTTCTTTCCTTTTCTCCTTTCCTTTTTGTTTCGTTTCCTCCTTTTCCCCCCCGCTTTTGTTATCTCCCCCTCCCTCCCCCCCGCCGCGTTGCAGGCTCTGCTCCAGACACATCCCCTAAAAACACTTCTCCCAGCTGTGCCGACCCGTCCCCAAGCCCTGCCTGCGGCTCCCCAGCCCCGCCGCCCCACGCGTGCTTCCCCACACACGGCTCCGCAGCCCCTCGCCCCCGAGGGCCTCCCTCTGCGTCCCGAGCCGCGCTCACCCCTCGGAGGCGACAGTTCCCGGTGTGACTCCCGGCGTGGATCCCGGCGTGGCTCCGCACTCACTCAGCACAGCACCGGCGACCGCGCGGCCCCTTTAAGCAGTCGCACCGCCCGCCGCCCGGCGCGCGCCTTGAGTGGCAGCCCCGCTCACCAATCACGGCTGCGGCCGCGCCGGGCCCCGCCTCCCAACAGGCTCGCGGCGGGCGGGGCGGGCGGGGGGCAATGGCGTGAGAAAGTGACGTAGCGTGGGCAGAGGGCGACGCGCCAATGGGGACACGGCAGAGGCGGCGGGCGCCCAATGGGAGCCGAGCGCCGCGCTGGCGAAGCCAATGGGAGCGCGCGGCCGACCGCGGGTGAGGGTAGGACGGGCGCGGACCGCGCTCTAGGCTGTTGCCCGGCAACGGGAGTGTCCGCGTGCCCTGGCCGCGGCCTCTCGGGGCATCCCGGACACGGAGCATCGCATCGCAGACCCGGCGTGTCCCGGCCCAGGAGCATCCCGGCCCCTCCGTGCCCCGGCGCCGCCGTGCCTCGGTCCCGGGACTCGCACGGGGCGCTACCAGCAGAATTGCCTCACGGAGGATGTGATGAATGTGATGATGAATGCAGCGCTGCCCTGCCCTGGAGCTTCCCGTCACAGTCTTGTCCCAGATAGTTAAATCCGCGGTGTGTCAAGCTGCACATCACGGGCTAGCCGCTGCCTAACAAATTGGCAATTAGCTAATGTGCGTGTTCGCCGTACCAGCCCCGCGTGCCTCCGGGCCGTGCCATGATTTATATCCACCGAATCCATTGCCATGATTAAGATCCGCCTAATCCATTGCTGCACAGGCCACGGGGCATCCACAGAGAACGGGGAGCACAAACCTCTGCTGCCTATGGGAAGTTGCTTGACAGAAGTCAAACACAAATGTTACAGCCTGGATAACTAGGTTGTAAAGCCCTGCTCAGGTCAGGGAAATGGTACTTCCTTGGCAGCTGTCAGGCTCTGTGACATCTGATTGCTGCAGCTAGCACAGGCCACCACCTGACACCTCAGGGTGTTAAACCACCATGTTAGGGGCAGGTAAGAATACTGCAAAGGAAAGGGAAAAACTATCACTGAAAGTGCTACCTCCTGTCCTGTTTGTTCAGTCTGTTTTGAACTTGTGACTGTTCTGCTCCTGTCATGCAAAATCATCACAGATTTGTCATATAACTCTCTTGAGACGAGTGAGAAATACTACTGAGAAATTGAGAAAAGTTTTGATTGCACATGTTACCCTGCAGTCTCCTGATAAGCTTGTGCCAGTCTGTGTAGAAGCCAGTTCCACTTGGTGTTCTGAAAAAACATGTTGACAAAATGCAAACTTGGTATGTCATGGCTTAGTAACATCATGTAGAGATGCTGTTACCTCCTGTGCCTACAGACCAAAAGGACTTGTTAGGAAAGTTCATCTTCTGTTCCAGGAATCTAAGACTCCAGTTGCTTCTTCTTTTCCATTCCTACCATAAAAAAACCCACAAAACCAAAAAACCAGAATGAGATCTGTGTCCTTGTTCTAGATGTCAAAATGGGTTCCTAATACCATTATGTGCTTTGGTGGCAAAAAGTTTCTTGACATGGGGAAGCTTGAACTGTCCTGGCTCTAGGGAACAGGTGCTCAGGGTCAGATGAATCAGTCCATCTCACTGAGTTTGTGGGAGCTCATTTGAGGGCTGCAAGTGCCCCTTGGAGCTTTGCAGCCCCTTCCCTGCTCCCTGGGGGCTCAGCTACCTGTGTACAGGGCTGGCTCTGCTCCAGCCTGCTCGTGTAGGCTGGGATGGGGCTGTACTGGAGGGAGCAGAGTGACAGCAAGGTGTGAGGAGCCTCCTGGGCGGCCTCTCTCCCTTCGCTTGGGAGCCCTGTTCAAACCTGGGCCTTTGCCTGGAGGGTGCCACCAGTGTACCTGTGCCTGGCTTCGACCTTTGCTGATCCTGACCCACTGACTTTCCAGCTTCAGCTCAGACCTACTCATCTCCACAGATTTGCCTGGAAACTTGGACTCTTGGTTGATCCTTTTTTACCGTCACTGGCCCTGCTCCACGTGTTTGTTTGGGCACTGTGGGAGCATGTCCTTGGTGAGGTCACTGCCCTACCTGCTGCCTTGTTGTGTCCAGCTCTGGGGTCACCTGCCCTTCCTGCTCCCTGACACCGTAAATCTGCTCACCTGTGAGCCTGCACTTATGTGGTGGGTTTTTTATGACAAATGTTATATTTGCTTTCACAACTGTGAAGTCTGAATTGGGTTTTGTAATTTTTTTTGTGTGTGTATAGTCAACAATAAATGCAGATGTAAAAAGCAATCTTCTTTGTTACATCTTAACAGATCTGATTAAAAAAAAGCTGCCAAAATTACTAACTGCTAATTAGCTTGGGGAGGTGATCCATATTATTGCTTTCTTTTCTGTGGTCTAGATATCTCTGCCAGGTAGGTAAAGACTTACCTGGTCTCTATGCTGCTAAAAGCAATGTATTTGCCTCTTCAGAATGTTTATGGATCCAGATGCTAATTTAAATTTATATCTAATCCAGATGTCCCCCTCTTGCAGACTAGTTGGATGACTAGTTCTTTATAGCCTAAGAAGTAAAAACTACTCTTTCTTATTAATCAGTACACTTTATTTTATAATTGTTGTCAATAGCATTATTCTTTTTATTCAGCTTTATGAGACTATTGCTTTTCCTGCCACTGAGTGTATTACAAGGGAATACTTACAAAAAGAATTACAAATGTTTCTTCACAAGAAAGGATATGCCTATACTCCTGTTGCAATAGACTACAACTGTTTTGTATTCATTTATCATAAAGATTGCATTAATATCATTAAAGTTGCTGGTGAATCTTGTTCCAAACCTCTTAGGTAATTAATTATAGTCCTCTAAGCAAATTGTGCTCCAGACATGTGATGGTACTATTTGCAGCCCAGCTAGTGAGAATGCAGGTCATTTCCCTTTCATGGCTCTAGAGCTCAACCAGTCTGCCCAGGGAGATTTTTAGTCAGGGCTGAATTTGTTAATTTGTACTAATGCACCAAAATGAATGCTGCACTTCAGTAGCCTTAGAACAGGAAACCTAAGAAAAGACTGGTTCATTTAATAAAGATGGTATTACCAGAGACACTCAGCATGACTCAGAATAACCTTGGAGCAGAAACATGCTCAGATGGTGCTAGTGGGAGCACACATTCTCTTCCTCTGTTAAAATTCAGGCTGTTTTGATAAAAGAGGAGTTTGAATTTGAGTTTTTCTCAACGCTTTTAAGCTATGTAAAAGTGGGTGGGAACTCCTAACCTGATACTGATTTGAAAGAAAAGTGTTTGCAATCTGATGATTCACCTTCTAGTTTAAAGCCAGAGTATAAATTCGGGGTGCTGGTTTTGTCTCAATAGATCCAACAGTTTCTTTGCTTCTGCTTAGTAGTTCTTAAGCAATGCTATCTGTAACGTTGTTTTAAAGCCTCCTAGAGAGATAGAGATTGTCACATTAGGTTAATAACTCTTAAAATAAGCAAAAAATCCAGATGATAATAATCTGTTAAGCTCTTTCTTAAAACCCTTTAAGAGTGCATTTGTTGGAATTTTCAAGAATATTTATTACAAGCCTAACTCGGACTTAATTCAATGGAAGTTACACTTCTAAGCCACTAAAATACTCACTGGGGTTTTTAGATGCAGCCAACTACATCTTTAGGCACCTGAATCCATTGGAAAGAGAGTTATATCCAGCATTTTCAGGGAAAACAAAGTAATGTGCCCTAACAATCTCTTCTACAAAACAAGATGTTGAGATGACTTTACTGAAAAAGGCATTGATTTTATTTTTTGCCAAGTACAGAATAGCAAAGGTCAAAAATAATGCTCAGGGGCAGAGAGTGTGAGGTCACACAAATGAAAGTTTGGAAACGGGAAGGTTTTTCTTCTACATATGTGTGTTAGGGTTCAGGGATAAGTGAAACTGTACAAGACAGTAGATCTCTCTCAAGTGCTGTTTTGATATTTCATATACCAGTATCAGGGAAGAAAGTTTTTTTAGATCGAATGACTAGTGAAAGTTATTTCTAATTCAATTCCCAAAAGGATGCACAGGAACTCAGATTTGAAACACAGTTGGTAGTGGAGAGTGGCCTTCTATCATCTCATAATCATCTCAGTTTGGTCTACTGATTCCAGGATAACATGATAGAAGACAACACCCAATCTGAAGAAGTGGGAAATTTAAACAAAAATATCAAAGCCTGTATTTTAAAGTAGGTCCAGTAAATGCAAATATTTCAATAACATTTGAGTTGGGGTTCTGGCTGAGTCTTAAAATATTTGTGACGTTGTATCAATTACAGGTTTTAAAAGTTATAAAAATGCATTTAAATCATACTTGGCTGGTTCTTTATGATATGTGTAAGAGGAGAAACTGCAGTAGTGTTATAATTTCAAATACAGATCGGGAATTGCTGAACAGACAAGAATCAAAGATTTGGGGGCCAGGAAAGCTGACAGTGCAAAGACAAGTCATCGTCTAGTATCTGTACTGCTTTTGAAACCAGAGAGACAACTGCAGCTGTGCTGTGTTCTTACAACTGGCAGAGGATAGGTCTGTAAGCCAGGACTGCATGGAGCTTCCCAGCAGCTTGTGCCTAAACCAATGCAGACCCCTCCCCTCCATTCCCTTCTCCTCTCCTCCCCTACCCCATGCTGTCTCCCATAGGACAGGCATGGAAATGAGGGTACACTCCATGCATTAGTCAGTATGTTGAGTACAGTTTGTACACTTGAAAGGCTGCTGTTTGGGTTCGTAGAACAGCTGTTAGGAGCTGAGATGCCATCATAAACCCACCTAGGAATCTGTGACTCAAGAGGGAAGCATGATGGTAAAATCTGGAACCCAGAGCAGAACATGAGGAAGAAAATAGAATTGGCAGAAGCAGTAAGATACTGATGCCATATTATAAAATGTTTCAGCAATTTAGCATTCCTGGTGCTCTGCTGACTGTGGCCCAAGGGGATTGGATTCTGTCTAAATTCCATTCTTCAAGTATCTGTGTGGTGTCCAGGCAGCACAGCATCAGAATGCAAATGAAATGGTGGAAAGTGTTTGCCATTTCACCTTCATCCTCCGGG